AAAAAAAAAAAAAAAAAAAAAATAGTATTTACAGCCCATCATGATCTATCAGGGAAGGGCTATTCACTCATTTAACAAATATCTATTGAGCACTTATTATGAGGTGGACAATATTGCACAGGCTCAGGGTACATCAATAAGGAAAAAAATCCTAGAATTCCCAGCTCTCGTGGAAGCAATATCTTCACTTTACTTGGAAGCGATGCATCTGGTTTGCTGTAGGCATTTCCCTTCACTTCTGCTGTCCCTTGTTCCTCAAAAAGGTGATGAAAAATAATTATCTCCTAATTAATACTTCCTAATCCACTAGGGATTCTGGCTGTCATTTCTCCTCTCTTAGTTATGAATTTTCAGTAAAGAGTTTTTGATATGTATACCAGGGCACTACTGATTCATCAGTGGTCTTTTGCATCTTTTTCAATGATAAGAAGGGGTTACATCAATCTTTCCAAACTCTTACATTTTTACATGATCCTCTGTGTTGCAGGCAGGAAGCAAGTAAGATGGTGCTCTGGTGGGGTTAAGCTCCCAGGACCTGGAAAGACCAAAGCGACGTGATCTATTTAGGGAGCATCCTGACCTTAACCTTTTAACCTCCGTGCTTAGTTTGCTGAGCTTCACTACCCTGTAATGCCAAAATTATGCTCGTACCAGCCTGTGATGGAAAGGCAGATGAAAGAATATAGGTTAAATAAATTATTAAACACACCCTTTTGAAAAGGAGGCTCATTCTCATATTACAACCCATCATTGAATTTTTTCTGTGATATAATGCTAAGAACGTGTTTTCCCTTTCTCTAGTTTGTTCGTAGAAAAGCTTCCCAGCCATCGAGAATACCAGCAATGTGCGGTACCCGAAAAGCAGGATATTATGAAGGTACTGTAGGATTGATTCTGTGGGATCAGATGCTCCACAAGTATCCATTATTGATTCCCCCTCCTTCCTATACTCCTCTGTTTCATCCTCTTGAGAGTTTAAGCACAAAAAATTCATTCCATTAGCCATGATGTTTCAATCTCTTCTCCAAACCTTTAATCATCCTTACTAAGCCAATGTGCGACGTCTAATTGAAACTGGGGGGGGGGGGGGGAGAAAGGTCAAGAATGTGCTTAATCACCTTATGGCATGAAGAAGGAATTATTTCACGAATCCTCCCAGATATTGAGGGAATGGTTATCTATTTCCCCATACTTATATGTGAGACAGTCATTTTGGCTGTTTGGATTATTCCATATAGTCCTAAACCCAAAAACTATTTGAAAATCAATGTTGATTATTAAGACAGCCTCAAAGCTCTAGTTATTTTTCTTCTTATGATACCAACCTAATAGATAATAAAGTGTTTAGGGGGTGGCCTGAAATATTCTCAAGGAAAAGGAAGATTGTTCAAATGTATTGATACATTATCAACATTTGCAACATACATAGTTATAAAATATCTTTAGCTGAGAATATATCCTTTTAAATAAAATTTTAAAAATATTTCCCATTTATTTGTCTTAAATAGTTTGGGTTAATCTTATATGAAGGAAGATAAAACAGTATATACAAAGCCAATCACAGCATGAAATTTTAAACAACTTTCAAAAGATATTTAACCATATAATGAAGTAAAGGCTGTCTTACCAGTTACATCAGGCCTGAGGCTGCCTATAAGCAGAACTCATTTTGTGAAATGATCATCTACATTTTTTTATTTCTCTACACACTTAATCAGAAGTGTCCTTTATTATCATGTCTTTGTGTATCATTTCCCCTCAATTCTCTTGTTCATTCAACCTCAGTGAGTTCTGTACAGAAACCAAAGGTCCCCGGCTGCCAAGGTGACTCTTTTACTCTAATTTAGGGTTATTCTTATTTTTACTTGTAGGAAAAGATTCTCCAAAGGCATATACATTTTCTTTGTTTATGCCTGTTGAATAAATGGATGGATAGATGGATGGATGCATGCATGCATGCATGCAAGGGTGAATGAATGAATGACAAAAGATTAAGAAAACAGAAATTTTAGTGGAAGAGCCTGGCTAGAGTCAGGAGACTTGGGTTCTAGTCCTAATTGGGTCACTAGCTAGTTATACAATACAGGACAAGCCTTTTAATCTTTTTAGGGCTTTGTTTCCTCATCTCTAAAAAGGGGTATGGTGTTTGGACTATCTCAGATTTTCCAGCCATGAAGAATCACTGGGAAGTTGTTTGAGATCCAGATTCCCCAACCCCTTCCCTAAATATGTTGATTCAGTAGATCTGGGATTAGCCCTTGGAATCTATATTTTTATAAAAAGTGCCTCAGTGCTTTTTACAGTCTGTCAGGTCTAGGAGTCCCTGCCTGGCATGTTCTCCGATGTTCCTTCTAGCTATGATGCCTTATCACTTACATACTGTGGAATGTGCAGTTACAAACCCACTACCTAAAAATGGGGTACCTGCCTAAACAAAATGCTTATCTCACCAGTGGAGTCAATAAAGGTCTTACAAAGGGGATAATTTTTTCCCTTCTCTAAATAAGAAGTTATATTTCAGAGCCCTAGAAAAGAGAGATTTATTTTTCCACCATCATCTTTGGTTACTTGTGTCTTGATTTCTAATACACATACCAGCTGTTTTTCTTTCTCAGCTGATGATTTGAAAGACTATACTGAAAATCCCACTAATCAATATGTATATATATTTTTAAAAGAAACTGAAGGAGATTGCATTCCCAAGGACAGATGAATTGAAAAAGGAGCTTTTAAAGAAATATAACGTAGAATACCAAGAATATTTGCAAAGCAAAGTAAGTTCAACTGGTACATTTATTTCATGTCTGTTTTTTGTGCACATATTTTTTAAATTTCATTTTCATATGAATTTTTCAAATGTCATATGCATTTAAATTAAAAATTAAAGATGCAGTGAGGTAAAACCAATTAAAAATTCATGTTACTGTCCAGGTTAAGCACTTCCACCAAAGATGTGGTATTTTTATTTCCCTACAATGTCTAATAAAGTGACGAATTAGAAAATAGATTTCCTACAGTGATTTAAATAGAGCTTTTTGACCAACTCTTGCCAGTGTAACCTTGAGCCAGATGACTGCTCTTTGCTGATGAATGAAGACAGTAGGAGGTAGGGAGAGCAGTATATGGTTTCTGATGTATCTAATTATGTAGCCTTTGGAAATGTGAATTAAATTCTTAAATATTGTGATAGTTATTACTTCAAGATGGAATAATAGCTACCCATATGAGTGAAATGTAATCGTATCACCAATGGGTGGTGGTTTCTGGACTGTTATTAAATAAAGAGTGAAAATGATAATGATGTCTAAGAGACCGAAAGACATTGAAAGAAGAAATCGACCAATTCAGTCTATAGGACCTCAAGTTCAAAATTTGAATTCTCAACATTTATAGCATTATTGTAAAGGTTGTTTTGCTTTTTTTGTTTGATTGTGTGTTTACGTGCTTTGGAAGTTGTCATCTTTACTGACTCTCGCTTCAGTTTAATCTCATTAACTCTGAACATGGTCAGAGAACCTCTCTGCTTTCCATGGGCATAGCTAGAAGTCAGATGTGAGTGAGAAATTTTGACGTAAGTGACAGAGGGAATGTTGAAATCAGAAGTTTCCCTCAAGTGTGGATATTGAAGATTTGATTTGAACTATGGAAGATAAAAATGATCTTGGAGGCTCAGACAAAGCAACAGTAAGGGAGAAAAAAGCCCAGTTAAGTCTCCTTTCCACACTTAGCAGTGTGTATGGTCGTCCCCTCTGGATCTCCCTGAGAGGAACGGCCTCAGCAGCTGTTGCATGGTTTGCCTTGGGTGATACCAGTTACTTCGCAGTCCACGATAATATCCCATGTTTGTGACATGTAGAAATCCCTGGGGGAATAGAGTGGCAGCTTGATGCCTAGAAGAGATGAACAGACACACCGGTAAGCCCTTGGCTACAGGCAGCACCAGGATTATCTGGGAGCTTATTAGAATGCAGAATCTCAGGCCCCACCCCAGACCTGCTGAATCCAAGTCTGCCCTATAACAAGACTCAAGGCGATTCGTGTACATATCGAAGTGCCGCTGTAAGCTGTGTCCTCAGCCCCACCTCTACCCTAGAGTAGCTCCCGAAGTCTAGTTTTTATCAAAATCATTTGGGGAGCTTATTAAAAATTTTTATTCTCTGATCTAATAATGCCCGGATATTTTCATTAAGACTGCAGAGCTTGAGAATCTTCATTTTTAACAAAACTCCTGGTTTGTTCTGATAGAAATGATAGGACCGTATTTTGAGAACCGTTTCTTAGTGATTCCCCCTTCTCCATGAAGTTCCAGTAGTATGAGTTCTAGAGTCAAATGCAAAAGGTTCTAGGGCAGCACTGTCTAAGAGAACTTCCTATGATGATGGAAATGTTCTATTTGATGCTCTTTGGTATAGGAGCCACAGCCACATGTGGCCAGTGGGTCCTTAAAATGTGTCTAGAATGACTGAGGAACTGAATTCCTAATTTTATTTAATTTTAATTGATTTAAATTTAAATAGCCATGTGGGGCTACTGGACAGGGCGGTCTAGGGTGACATAACCATTTCTGAGATATTTTGTTCCATATGGACCTTGATTTTCCAATATTAAAAGCACAGAGGAATGGAGGGAACTTGATTGTCATGGCCTGTCTGGCAAAATATGAGGGGATGTAGCACTGCTGCCTTAATCAGATTAAGGGGCTTTTGCCATGGTGTTGTGTATTTTCCTTACTGTCGCATGAGTGTCCCTGTGGGCATATCGCAGTATCTAGCCGTGTCTCTTTGTGTGCTAGAAGATTGAAAGCATCTAATCCCAGTTTGATGTTTTTGCCTTGGAAGCTAACCTTTTATTCTGGCAACCGCATTTTTTTAGAACAAATACAGAGCTGAAATTCTCAAAAAACTGGAGCACCAGAGATGGATAGAGGCGGAAAGGAAGCGAATCGCTCAGATGCGCCAGCAGCAGCTAGAATCAGAGCAGTTTCTGTTTTTTGAAGATCAGCTCAAGAAACAAGAATTAGCCCGAGGTCAGATGCGCAGCCAGGAAACCCCAGCGCTGTCGGAGCAGATTGATGGGAGTGCTTTGTCCTGCTTTTCCACACACCAGAACAATTCCCTGCTGAATGTGTTTGCAGATCAACCTAATAAAAGTGATGCAACCAATTACGCTAGCCACTCTCCTCCTGTAAACAGGGCTTTAAAGCCAGCTGCTACTCTAAGTGCTGTTCAGAGTAAGTGATGAAATGCTCCCTGCAAGACATTAAATCTCTTCTAATGGAACCACATTTCTGTAACATCTGGGAGGGTCCTCCTCACTTCATTATCAATTGTGGTAAGACCCCTACATGATGTGGTGTGAATGACAGAGCTAGTCTTTCAGTACTGTCTGGCTTTACTCTATGTAACCTTAAAATTCAGGAAACATGATTTGCCCCTGGAAGAGCACAGACTGTAATAAAAGAGGCTGTATTTAGTCATGGTACAGAGATTTTAAAAGAGAAGAATCCCAAACATTTTTTTCTTTCGTGTCTTTTAACCAAGAAACACATGACTCTTAAACGTAAACACTTATACTGGAGAGGAAAGAAGATGTTGAGAAAATTGTTTGTCCAGACCTTTGCTCAAAAATTTAAATGTAAATGTTTAGCATATCCCTGCCCAGGAGGATCTCGTACACACTAGTAGTTAACCTCCAAGTGGATTATGTGTTTCTGCCAACAATCAGCGCTGCTTCGTGCTGCTACATCAGTGCTGGCGAGCTTCCAAAACCAATGGGAAATTCTTCCCGGCAGACACTGTCAGATGGAGTTTGTGTTTGCATTTATTTTTTGATAATTATGATAGGCAGCCATTTCATAAATTAGTCTACTGCTAATTATTTCTGAGAACATAGTGCTTTTACTTAATGATCACCAACTTTCATAAAGATATAAGTACCAAATGGGAAACACAATAAAGAATATTTATCCTCTGTCTTAGAAGCCGTGAGACGTAGTCTTTGCAGCCTATGCACTTAGGAGGGTATTTGCTTTGTGCCAGAAGAAATACATGAAATAGTTGATCTAGGGCACAAAAACGTAAAAGTGCTTGCACCTTCCCTCTTGTTTATAAAATAATTTATATGCAGAGTGTAATTTTACCTTCCTTCTAGTTAATGTTTACTTTCAGGAGTTTTAAAAGAAAATATGGAAAGTGGAGCACCTGATAATTTTATTTTTCATATTTATATTGACCTGCAGTTGCTTGCCAAAAAACAGCTTTGAAGGATGGGATGTAAGGTTTGTTTTATAGCTTTTGCTCTCTTTTCTGTTTCTTAGATTTAGTGGTTGAAGGACTTCGATGTGTGGTTTTATCAAGAGATCTTTGCCACAGATTTCTGCAGCTGGCAGAATCTAATACAGTAAGAGGAATAGAAACTTGTGGAATACTTTGTGGAGAACTGGTATGATCTTTGTTTCATATCTCTCTGCACAGGATACCTTCAATAGTAATGGCTTTCTTGAAATAAGCAGAGCAGAATAAAAGCATCCTAAAAGTTGTAAATATTATGAAGTTATCTTCACATAGATTAACTTACAAAACTACTGCCATTATTAATGGAATTATCTTTCTAGAAAATGGATTATAAAATTTCAAGGATACTATAGAAGCTTATTGTAAAGAATTAATCAAACCATATATTAAATCTTTGTTTAGAAAATGGTGGATTACAGGTCTTCAGATTTCCAAAACCATCTCATTTTCTAAATCAAATTTCCATTGCAATTGTTAGTTTCATATATATTCATATAATTAATTCTGCCTGTTTTTATCAGTGACAGGTATCATCTTGCCACCCTTTTTCAGATACATGTGAAATAAAACTAAGGTTTTGTTGTTTTCTTTAGTTTAAGGTAGTAGTTTCAAGAAACTGAAATCTTATAACACAGGTCATGTTTAAGTATGGAAGATTTTATCAGAAATATGTGATGAAAGACAATGTCAAAATAGGAAGAGATAAAAGAGAGAAAATACATTTAATCCTCCTTGCAAGAAAGAGGAATAAAGTTTCTTTGGAAGGGCCCTTTCATAGTCTCTTCTGGGTATCAGTTTATATATCTGGGTCTAGGCACATTTTCAGTCCCGAACATTTACCTTGGAAACTGTAGTTTAATTGAATAATGTATTTCATTCAACACCCATTCTCCTATTATATTCCAGTGTGGCATCAGCACTTTTCCTCCAGGAGAGAGGAAGCACAGATGACAAGCACAGGAGAATGACCTGCCATCTCCTCCCCACAGTCACATTAGTTGCCCTTCAGGGGGCAGTGTGCTATGGATGCTTCGTCCCCAAGACCATGTGTAATACTTAGTTTGATTGATTGATTGAGTGATTCATTCATTCATCAGACAAACATTTACTGAGTACCTGTATGTGCCAGGCACTGTGCTAGATGTTGGCATTCAGTAGCCTGTAACAGCCACAGTCCCTGCCACGTGATGCTTGCACGATGCTTGTGAAGAACCAGACAGATGATTAATTTTAAATAAGGCCGGGTGCTCTCAATGGAATGCAGGGTATCATGGGAAGGTGTAACTGGGAAACCTTTTCTGGGAGGGTCAAGAAGGGCTTCCCTGAAAAGTGATGTTTACACTAGGCCTGAAGGATACATAAAGTCAGCCATGAATGGAGGAAGTGGGATGGAGGAAAGAGTTGTAATCAAGGCTGAAGGAAGAGTGCCCAGTTTGCCGGAAAGCCCTAAGTCTGGAGAAGATGATGCTGTGGAAGGATGGACAGCCACTCACAGCACAAACATCTCATACCTGAGGATTCCACCAATACTTCCAAACCCTCTTCCTTTCCACGCTTATGTTTTAGCTGAGGGGCCTAATTTGTTTTTCCTTTCTCTTTATCTACTTGCAAATCCAAAACATTACCTTAATTATGGAAAATCCCAGTGAGTCCCCCCAATAGAAGAAAGTCCTAAATCTTGAAGGGAAATTAAATATAATTAATAAAATAAAACCAAGACCATCAACAAACCTTAGAAATGTCCTTCAGTAAAACTAAAAAATTATTTAACTAGTGTCTTCCCCTCCAAATAAAGTTGCTATTGTTTTGTTCTGATTTTTCCATTACAGATATAATGTATCAAGACATTATTTATTAACTAAAATTCCATGGAGCAGCCTGAGATGCTAATTCCTAATTATGGTACATTTGCTGTTGTGAAAATGGGTCTCAAGCTCCAGACAACTGGCTCAAATTTTTGGCAAATAATCCATTTTCAAGTTTGGGACTTTGTTTTTGAATTGTGACCAGGTGGGAGGACGATGATGCAAGTGGTGCGGCATTCTCTAGTCTTGTAGCAAAACGTTGCACTGCCTGTTCAGGGTGTTTATGTTTTTCGTTTTTTTTCTGTCAGATGCTGGTTATTCTTTTTTGCTAATTGTTTTTTAGACGCATAATGAATTTGCTGTTACTCACGTAATCGTGCCAAAGCAGTCTGCGGGACCAGACTATTGCGACGTAGAGAATGTAGAAGAATTATTCAGTGTTCAGGATCAACACGATCTCCTCACTCTGGGATGGATCCATGTACGTTTGACCTTTTGGGTCTTGGTTTATTTTTTTGTTGTGCGCTGTTTTCCTCCTTGAGGAAATTTGACTTAATTTAAATCATTTCTTATTTTTAAATTTTTTTAAGTGCAATAAATGTCATCCTATTAAAACATTTTCTTCACTGTTAGGCCATGTCTAAATCTGTCAAATCTGGATTTGGAGAGAGCTGTATTATGCTTTTCTCTACCATCTGAAGTTAAAAGAGAGAGAAACATTTGGAAATTAGGTGACTTGTTAGGTACATAGTTTAATGGAGGCCTCGTTAGATTTTTAGCTTGTTTGACTAGACAGTTAATGTTTTCTTTCCCTTTGCTGTGGATCTAAAGTATATTATTTTAAGAAAATATCTGAAAAAGTTTCCTTTAAACAGGTGTTTGTACATATCAAATAGGGACCATACACTCCACTACAACTCCCCTACAGGCCAACGATGTATGTATCATTGTATAGACAGCCATGGAGTAGGGCCAAAAGGATGGGGCCAAAAACCTTGGGTTCCATCATCAGGCAGGCTATCATAGGGCAGGAAAGGGCTTCCAATCAAAAGACATGAGTTTAAATCTCACCTGTACTAAGAATTCACTCTAGGAATGTTGGCAAGTTATTTAAGCAGTCTGGGCATCAGCTTTATCATCCATAAAATAGGGATCGTAATAATGGACTTCATGTGATGGTGAGTTTTAAGTGAGATAATCTCGGTGAATTTCTTAGCACGTTTTTCTAGGGACTCAGAAAATTGTAGCTATTTTTATTGGTGATGTTACTCTGCTTTTCCTATCCATGGTTTAATCTATCTCGGGGACATTTTTCCATTCAGTCTCACACATCTGGGCCTGGAGTAGGGACAAGTCATCCCACTGACATGGGATGCTGGTCCAGATTTCCAGGGCACATCCTGGGGACCTCCAAGAGCCCCTGAAGAGTGATAAGTGACCATTTTTATTTTACTTGCTTTATAGAGAAGTATTGAGTAGGGATAGGACACATCTATACCGCCCACACAAAATCACCAGGCACTTGGTGTTGTGGGGGAAGGGGGAGAATCCCCCTCTGCCCTTTCCCTTAAGGTTCTTATGGCTGGCCAAACAATTAACAAGACAGGTTAGCAGAAGAAAATAATACCAAGTTTAATAACATGTATACATGGGAGAAACCAGGGACACTGAGTTTCTCAACACAATGGCAGAGATTCTCATCTTAAATAATATCTTCAGCTAAAGACAAAGGAGGATGTTGGGGGTGGGTGGTGTTTTGGGATTTCAGAGGGGAAGAAGACAATTTACATGAAGAGGGAAATGTAAATGTTTGTCAGACAATGCTTTGCAGGGCCACCTATAGAGAATGTGGCCTGGAGAGGCAGGAATTATAGTAATCAAGAGTATGTAGATTTAAGTCTTCTTCTTCCGTCCTGATAAGAGTTTTCACAGATAAGGTCATCCCCTCTCCTTCCCACTACACAGAGGGAGATACCTTTACAAATGTAAATATTTGGTAAACAGAACTTTGAAAAGAATGGGTTTAGCGAAGACTCTGCCAGTCTGTCCATACTCAGAGTTAAATTCCTTTAGGCAGTTAGTGGGGGAGGTCAAATGTCCATCAGAGAATTTAATCAAAGTAAAGAGATATATTTCAGGGTGGTCAATTTTGATCTTCCACAGTATTATGTAATTTAGAAGGGTAGCAGAAACTTTAGTCCCAGCTCCACCTGTAAGTTGCTGTGTGCCCTTAGTTAGGACTCCTAACCTTCTTGTTTTTAGGTTTCCTCATTGACCAAGTGGGGCTAATGAATGCCTTCTCTCCCTCATTGGATTTATGTGAGCCTTAAACACGATACCAGGTGTAAAAGCCCTTTGAAAAGTATAAACCACCTCTCAAATGCCAGAAATTACTTGTAATGAAAAGTTTTCAAATCTTTCCTTATGTCTACTTGTTTTACTTAACAGTGAGTAATATGCCTTACTGTTTACTTAGAAATAGCTGAATTTTAAAGACATTGTTTAGTTCACTGTGATTTTCTATAATGAGAATGCATTAAAGTAAAACAAATTGTAGCAAAGAAATTCTAACAGGAACCAAGAAAGAATCACAGTCCATTAAATTACTTACGTTGAAAAGGCAATGTTAGTTTATCTTAAAAACATTTCCCAAATTAGAAATAAGTTTTTCCCTTATGACCCGTTTATATAATGTATGCAATAATGAAGTTAAGTTGTTCAAATAATGAATTTGGCATAATTCTAGAATTCTAGGACTTACCTTTTTGTTTAATTTATTTCATCATATCAAATTGTTGTGATTCAATGAAAACACTAAAATGTTATATTTCTAAACCTCAATGGTTGTAATGACTTTTGTGATGATTTTTATTGGCAAATAATAGCAACAAATTCCAAAGCTAACTTTTTTCAGATGTAAATTAGTCATAAGAAAGAAGGGCTGAATGAGAATCAGACAGATCTGGATTTGAATTTAGACTTCCCAGCTTAACTAGCTCTATGACCTTCAGCACGTTATTTACTCTTCTGCTTAGCTCAGTTACCTCATCTGTAAAATGGGGATAAAAAATAGCACTTACCTTGTTGTTTTAAGATTTAAATGAGATAACTCATGGAAAGTGATTAGTTCAGTGCCTGACACATTATTCAGTTGCAATAAATGGCATCTACTGCTATTGTTCCATCATCATCATCGTCATCATCATCATTTTTAGTTTCACAGAGTGAGGGGTGGCATGGGAGCACCATTCTCCCAGGGGAAAGCTGTCTTTATCAGACTAGAAGTGATTCCCCTTGGCAGAAATGAAGGACTCAGAATGTCTTGTGGTGTGTATTCAGTCTGGAAATAAATTAACAGGCAGAGAGGTTTGCCTGTTTGACAACTGCCCGCTGTCTCCACAGCGCTCGAGTTCCATTAAACACTTCCTGCCTTCTCACCAAGGCAAAGAAGGCTGTATGTACTAATGGAAGGTTTTCACTGAATCAGAAAACAGGGAGTCAGACCTCCCCCTCATACCCTTGCTAAAGATTTGGGTTTTAAAAATTGGGGTACCGTTGATCCTAATTTTGATCCTAAAAAATGATTCCTCAGTTGATCTAAGTCTTTGCAGACCAAGAGTTATTTTTTATTGCAGAACATGTATCTTTCTGTAAATAGAAATCATTGGATTTTACCTTCATTCTGTTAAATAAAGTAGAAAGGAGTTTTAAAATCTTGCATTTCTTCAACAGCCCCATAGTTAAGTGTAAAGGCATGAAGCTATTTCTGTGGGCCTATGCTCTTTAGTTAACAATGACAACATTAAAATAACAATAGCAGCAGTAATAATAACAGCTAATGATTCTGATTCCCTTCTATGTGCTAGGCACTGCTGTAAGAATTGCACATGGATTGTCTCATTTAATTTTCATAACAATCCCATGAAGAAAATGATTATCCCTATATTACAGTTGATGAAATGGGCATGAGGAGGTTAAGGAATCTTTGAAGTATCATACAGCTAGTGAGAGATGGAGCCAGGACCCAAATAGTGCATACCAAGGACCTTGGTTTCATGATTAAAATGGTCGCATTCCTTTTCCAAGGGTAACTGGGGTTTACTGTGAATTTTAAAATCATTATGGGTGCATATATTTTTAGTATTCAAGTATGAACCACTGATTTGTCGCTCATTAACACAAGTTTGTATACAGCCAAAAACCTGGAAGATACTTCTTTTAATTTATAATCTCCCCTTACTTCTCATCATGTGGGCATTTACTTGCTGTGCAAGATGAGTCCCAAACACCTTCAACAACTTAGAGAGTTCTAGTCTCCCATTTCTAGGGAATGGCAATCCATGAAAGGATATATAGCAGCATGTGGTAAATTTAGTGAAAACTTTGCTTTTGTGTCCATGGTTTTGTGTAAAGTTTCTCTGGGTTTCCAATCACAGCTCTGCTCCTTACTAGCTGTGTGACCATGGGCAAGTTACTTAAAGGAGCCTCAGAATCCTTGTATATAAAATTGAAATAATAATGTAAGTATCTCCTTGATGAGTTGTGATGATTATATGCGAATCTGTTTAAAGCCCCTGGCAAATTTCCAGTTCAGTCTTTCCCTAAAAGCAGAAAGTACATGAACACTCCCAAAAGCCTCTTCTCAAAGTCATAGTTATTCCAAAGATGTGCAAAGAGAAGGATTATGTCAGCAAGACATTTTTAAAAATCTGTATTTAATTAATGGTGGTGAGAAATAAAAAGCAAATAACTAGAGTTTTCTCTTACAATGGGCTGTGGCCTTGGGTAAAACTCAGCTACCCCAGTAAGACTGTCCTCTTTTCTTTAGACGCATCCGACCCAAACTGCATTCTTATCCAGTGTTGATCTTCACACTCACTGTTCCTATCAGCTCATGTTGCCAGAGGCCATTGCCATTGTTTGTTCACCAAAGCATAAAGAGTAAGTGAGACTATGGAGGGGCCCAGGTAAGGCTTTGTCTGGGGCTGCTGGGTTCAAGTGTGTCCACACACCAGGTTGTGGCACGTAGATAGGCAGACACACCATGCCCTTGGGAAAAAGAGATTGGTGACAGCCGACTCCCATATACCTGTAGCTCTGCTGTCTTTTGCTTTTTGGTAGAATTACGGGTTCTTTTTCTTTAGTTAGCATGACCTTGAAGTGGGTAAACTGGATATTATTCCAGTTTGCCGTTTGAGATCTTAGTTCTACCGTGTTATTTCCTGTTGTGAGAAAATTTCCACCTTAGCTTAATTACCTCCAAAACCTTTCCAGGTTTGGAAGACAGTGATTATTGTAGCATGATTACAAGCAAAAGAGTCAGACGAACTGACCTTGGAATCCCAGCTCCACCCTCCAGTGGTGTGTTTAGCAGGATACCTGACCACTATGAGCATCAGCCTCTTCATCCCTGATACCTGCCCATCACGGATTGATGTGAGGGTGAAACTGGATGAGAATCTGTGTAAAGGGCTTAGCATAGTGCCTGGCACCACTGGCCAGCACTCGATAGATATTTGCTATTGCTATAAACAGTGTTAGCATGATTAGAAAAAACCTGTCATTTCCTCCCACGGGGTCTCAACTTTTCCTGCCGTCTCACACACAACTCCTCTGTGGCTTTTCCTCAGCTGCCTTTTCCCCATTAGCATCCTGCAGGTACTTGGAGGTAGCATTGGCTCCTCTGGGTTTCTCTATTCTAGGCTAGTCATTGAAAGATTGGCTAAAAAATCACTGTGGAGTTCCTAGTTTGTGGTTTCTTTCTCGATCCCATTTGAGGAACATGTATGCTTGCACTATTCTAATAAAGTGTCTGGAAAGTCCAAATGATCCTTAAATTTTTGTACCTTTTTTTCACCCTGAAATTTAGCACTGGCATCTTCAGGCTCACCAGTGCTGGCATGCTAGAGGTTTCCACTTGTAAAAAGAAGGGCTTTCATCCACACACCAAGGACCCCAGGCTGTTCAGTGTGAGTAGACAGTGTTGGTTATTTTTTGCAGATATTTATTTTTCACTTCCTCTTTTATTTTTTAAGGGGAGAGATAATAACAGTATAATATGGGATAAACACTAAAACACTGTGCTGCTTAGTTTGGAGTTTTCTTATCCAGAACATTAATCGGTCTTTCTATTGTCTTCTGATTTCTTCTCGCTATTATTTCATTTACAAGGGAATGCCGGTATTTCTGTAGCAGAGTTGATTATGCATAAAGTTACCTTTCCATTTAAGTATCTGTGTGATACTTAAATAGTTTTCTTCAGACTCCAAGTAAGCAGACAGTTATTAAAGAAAATGATATTAAATGTCTCATGAATTATGTCTGCTTGATGTGGTTAAACTAATTTTTTAAGAACAGTTCAATGAAAACTGTAATCGTACTTCTTGACTGGCTTTGTATAGCCCGAAAGAAACATTTGGCTACATCTTTTCTCACTTACCGCTTGCTTGGTAGTTCTCTGGCTGTAACATCAGAGAAACAGTATTTTGAAGTTAGAATTTATTTAAAATGAAAATTACTTGGCAACCTCTGTAAATATTTTCTTGTTGAAAATGAATAAACATGATTGTATTTGTTCCGATTGGAAATATTTGTTAAATAAGGAACCTTTTTAAATTAGGAAATTCATACCTTCTTCCTAAAGAGAATCACGTTAAACATTATGATGTACAGCCAATATTTTCTTTTCTAGATATGCAAACATGTGTTGGTAAAAGACATAAAAATAACAGTGCTGGATCTGAGGTGATATGTTCCGAAGATTAGAACCGTCAACACCAGACACCTACCCGTGGATATGTGGTTGCCAGATTTCCTTAAGATGTTCCCAGAAATGACTGATATTTTATATTTATACATTTTAGATCAGAAAGTTTGATATTTATTGCTCTTGCACATTTTGAAGTTTTCTTTTTGAGTTGCTCTGTCTCAAGAGAGGTCACAATGGTGTTAAATCAATGCTTATTGTTGTGCCCAAATACTATGATGAGATAATAAATTGTGCTGCAAACAACACATCTGGTATTTATCGAGTCCTCTGCGTACATTTTCAGAGCTTTAGATGTTTCACTGTATTTTTTTTCATTCCTGTAAAACATAATTCCAAATAAGAAATTCTGAGTATCAGGTGGTCTCCAAGACAGGCCACCTGTTTCTGCAACTTTCCCTGTGGGTGGTAGAAGAAGGTGAACAGTTTCCACGTGTGAGAAGAAATATGGCTGCAGATGGGAGAGCCCATCCTGTGTTTTCAGTGTCATCAAATCCCAGGCTCAGAGATGTCTCAGAGTGCAGGATACCAGAACAGTGAGCTTCTACTCTGGGATCAGGTGTCAGAGGGCTTGGGGCAGCAGACGATTCATTAACTTGATTTAGAGGACTAAAAGCAGAGACCCTCGAGAGAGGAGTAAAAAAAGACTCAGATAAAAGTGTAAAGGGGTGATAGGGAGAAGAAATGAGGCATGGGAAACACTGATAATTTTCAGCCAAAAAGAATAAATAAGAAAATAATTTGGAAGCAATTGGGGCCTGAGACTTTCTGAGGCCAGTCCAGGCCAAGCAGGGGGAAGAAAGGTCATGCATTTGCTGAGTTGCTCCCTGCGCAGAGATCATTTCTTTTCCAGTAGGTGCTGCCTTTCCTTACACTCCATGACTTGTCGAAAGGGTGTTGGTTGTGGCCATTTGGAGGTGTTGAGACACACCAGGGGAGGATTAGGAAGTCTCCGAGGATGCAGGAACACGTGGTGACAGGCACGATTTGAGGTGGAAGGGCCAGGGAGATGCCTGTCGCTATTACTACTTAAATTGCTACCTTAAGAGACTCTTTTTTTTTTTTTTTTGTGAGGAAGATCAGCCCTGAGCTAACATCCATGCCAATCCTCCCCTTTTTACTGGGGAAGACTGGCCCTGAGCTAACACCTGTGCCGATCTTCCTCCAGTTGATATGGGACGCCGCCACAGCATGGCCTGACAAGCGGTGCGTCGGTGCGTGCCCGGGATCCGAACCTGGGCCGCCAGCATCAATCGGACTGCACGCAATTAACAGCTAAGCCACGGGGCGGCTCTTAAAAGACTCTTTAACATTGGCCCAAGGCTTTTGAGCTACAATGAATAAACAGTACCCTGTGGGGGTGGGTGGGGAGAAAGAATTTGGAAAGAGCGGTCATAATTAAAAGTATCTATATATAAATCAATGCGCAGGTAATAGGAAGAAAAATATGTTTAAACTGAATAGAATAACATAAATATAACGTTATGGTATTATTAAGGCTTGGAAAGGGGTTTGTAACTAGTACCTAGAAAATAAAAGCATTTACTTGGATCAAAAGGTACAGATTAAATAGAAGAAATGGGAGACATATGGACTATGTTGGCAGGTTGAATTGGCAGGAAAAACCTGAGGATGGAAACATTGTGGAGAAAATTTTGCTGCAAATATAAGAAGAGAAGAATGGAAGTGATATTTTTGAAGGAGCAAAGTCCAACCATTGCAGCTAGAAGGACGTGGATGCCTTCTCTCTGAGCATCTACACAATACTGACAGTGAGGCACGTGAAACAGGGATGGGGCTTCAGACTATCTCGTCATCAACTGAACATCATGTTCAGCCAGAAGCAGATCATGATGAACCCTGGACTTGCCTAACTGATTGTTTAATTTCTCTGTAGACAATTTAAATGTTAATCAATAAGGAAAAACAAATGGATATTGAGTTGACAGAAACATTGGAACATTTCCAATGACTGTATAGTGGGTGCTTTCAAAGGGATTAATGGCTGAGATGTGTAGGAAGTCCCTAAGAAGTCAGATGCATGCTATGTCACCCTGGACATTCCCAGTGAGGTGAGCACAGGAAGGCAATAGAGAAACCAGCCTCGTAGCCCAGCAAGTTGGCTGATCTGCCCAGGTTTCAAAGGAGCCTTTGTAAAAGCTGGAACGCAGGCACTGAGTCCAGTAACAATTCTGAGAGATGGAGACAAATTGGCAACTTACAAACAACAAAAGATTGACTAGGAATTGTCAAATGACAAAAATAAAACAATTTAGTAACAAATTTGATGTCCTGTTTTTCAAGGGAAAACAATTCGTGGACTGGGGCATTACAGGGCCTCAGAAGCAGTGAGCACTCTTCCTCAGGGATGCTTGGGCAAGAGGGAATTTTATAGAGCATTAGAAGAGGCAACGTGGAAATGGCGTGATTGGCTAGGAGATGGGGGATTTCCTTATAAGGCTCACTAGTCCTGTTTGTAGTGTAAGGTGAGCTAAAACTGAGTTGGAGGATTGTGATTGGTGCATGTTAGTTTTCCTTGACAGGTGTTTTCCGTAAGTGCAGGCTGACTTAGGTTTGATTTGTGATGTGGGCCGAGCCACTGGGGCAGCCTCCATTTTCTGCGGCCCGACATGAATTAACTTTATCAGAATTAACATAGCTTCTCTGGGAACAATTTGTAGCATATGTTTCTATTTTATTAATAGGGAGGTGTATTACTCTCTAGATCAGGAAGATGGTGCCGACATGCATAGAAGCAGGACAGCAGTCTTATCTTCTGCAGTCAGAGCACCTGGGTCCAAGTTCCAGCTCCGCCACATACAAGACAATGCTTTATGACAGTGTGGAAACCAGAATATAA